AAATATAAGTAGTCCAACATAAAATTTGTCTTATATTATTGTCGAGCAAGAATACCAACTTAAAAAAAAAATTACAAATTAATTATGCAAACTTGTGGGACCCATGTTCAAATGAAGAGCCGATAATCAGAGACGCAGTGAATGCACTCTGCTACACTCACCTGTACTCTGCTCCATCATGAAGCCGCGATTGAACAAATATTGTCTTTGCTCCTATACAAGTTTTATAGTAAAATTTGGCAAAATATATTGAAAAAATAATAATAAAATTTTTTCAAATTATATAAATAATAATTTAATTTTTCAAAATATTATAATTTTTCTGAAATTTTTAAGAATTTTTCTGTCATTAATAAATTTATACAAATTATTAAATTACTCTTATTAAAAATAAATGATTCGCAAGTTTTATTTAAATATTCATAACTTTTCTTCTTATATTCATAATAATACAACATTAAATAATAATTTCGCATGTCAATATTCCTTATTTGCTATTGTGTTCTTGCAAATATAAGAAGAAAAATTATGAATATTTAAACAAAATTTGTGAATCATTTATTTTTAATAAGAGCAATTTAGTAATTTATATAAATTTATTAATAACAGAAAAGTTCCTACAAACTTCAGGAAAATTATGACATTTTAAGGGATTAAATTATCATTTATATATTTCGAATGAATTTTATTGTCATTTTTTCAAAACATATTTTTATGATCCTACACTTAAATTTTGATATAAATCCTTACATTTTTTTGATATTTTAAATTCTTTCATTTTTTTTAGTGTTTTAGATTTCTTCATGAGTAATGTCATAAGGACCTAGAACACAAAAAAAAAAAAACAAAGGAATTTGGAATATAAAAAATGTATATATAAATTTATAATAAAACTTAAATAAAGTATAGGGATTTAAAATTTGCTTTTCCTACTTCTTTTCATAAAATTCATCACATGGTCGTGCAATGAATTTTAGATTCGTCAAGCTAGATGCGTCATTTACTCTTTAAACTGTAGATTGTATTTAAAAAATCATTGTGTATGGTGCTAAAATTATGAGGATAAAGAAAATTAAAGAAACATGTAATTTCTTTTCCCGTGATATTTTAGAAAACTGTGAAATATGTATGATAATAAGTTGATATATGTTCAAGGAGATTTAACGATGAGGAGTAATGAAAAAATAATTTATAAAATAATAATATATTTAGATGTGCACAGTGCTCAAAAAAATTTCTTGACTTTCCAAAAAAGACGGAAAGTTGCACTCAAGTGAAACTGTGAAAGACTGGAACAATTTCTTTACTGTTGAAAAAATTTTACAGATGGCCACGCACAATAAAACTCTTTTATCATCCATGAAAACGTGAATTTCTATGCGAAGGTTTCATGTCCTGAATTGAAGAACACCCATACAATTTGTATATCAGAGAACTTGCTTGAATCTCTGATTTTGCCAAGGGAGTATCCCTCATAATCTTCCATTATGAGGATCCTTTCGTTTTTATTTCTTCACTTCATATTGTTTTGTCACATGCGCCTTTGCCTCCACGTGTTGGTGGTGTCTGGTTTTTGTGTTGCAGATCAACAATCACTGTTGCTGCAACTGAAGAACAACGAATTCAAGTCGGTGCTTCATGGTATACTAAATTGGTAAGCTAGAATCAAAGCATTCCTCACTATGATTGGAATGGTGTGACTTGGAATAAGGAGGGGCATGTTACTGGTCTCAACTTGAGTTCAGAATCCATAGATGCAGAATTGCATAATTCAAGCGCTCTTTTTTGTCTTTTTTGTCTCCAACATCTTCAGAACTTGGATTTGAGTTACAGTCTTTTCAGCTCTTCCATTCCTCCTGCAATCGGAAATTAGAAGAACTTGGTCTCTTTAGATTTGTCAGGTAATGCTTTTGAAGGGCAAATACTAATGGAGATTTCTCAGTTGAAAAATCTGGTTAGTCTTCATCGATCTCTTTCATTATCCTTGAAACTTGAGAATCCAAATCTACAACAACTACTCCAAAACCTCACAAAAAACAAGTATTCGTATTTAGATCAAGTAAACATATTAGCTCAAGGGAAAGATTGGAGCAATGCTTTGCAACCAATTCCTAGTCCTAAAGAAGTGAGCATGCGTTCTTGCAATCTCTTCGGGCCCATTGATTCTTCATTGGAGAGACTTGATCATCTCTCAAAAGATTATCTTCATGATAATGATCTATCATCCACAATGCCAGAAAGCTTTGCCAATTTAAAGAAATTAACCGTCCTGGGTCTTGAAGATAGCAACTTGGGAGGTTTCCATGAAAGATATTTGAAATTGCAACATTGTCATGTTTAAGCATATCAAAAAACATTGATCTCCATGGGTCCTTGCAAAGCTTCCCACTCAATAGATCTCTTAAGACTTTAATAGTAAGTTACAAGAAATTCACTAATCCAATTGTTAGGCAAAAATAAAAGGGGGTGTCACAATGCGTGCCATAGACGTGAGGTTTCAAAAGAATGGAAGAACTTGATTTCTAATTAAACGCGAGGAACAGTTTACCTAGATGTGAGAATGTGAAGTGAAGAAAATTAATGTAGATGTAGGGAAGCAAAGATACATTAATTAAAGAAAGAGGTGGTGGGATATGCCAGCTGTACAACAAAAAGTAAAAACTAAAACTACATGATAAAATAAAAAATAAAATAAAGTAGAAGACGTGGAGTTTGAAACTTGTAGTTTGTTAATGCTGATGATGATTCTTGTTGAGAGAAGACTTCTCTATTTATAGATGATCCTGACTTGATGTCTAAGCTCCATGATTGCTAGTTTCCTTAAATGTAGGAAGCACTTCCTCCATCATGATCACTCACCATGAGTGGAATGTAGATAGTCTTGACTTAATGGTTAAAGTTTTATAAATATTTTATTTTAATCATTTTAAAGCCAATTAAATTGAGTTAAGCCTGGGCCTCCTTCCAAATTTACAATTTCAGTGCAAACACCAATCCCTTCTTCTTTGTTTGCACTCTCATTCGTAGAATATATTGATCTTTCATTCAACCATTTTAATGGTGAATTGAACCTTAATATGCTTTAAGGCTATCAACATCTACAAACATTAGATCTTTCTTATAACAACTTACCAGTTGATGTAAGTGTCATGGATGCTAACCTCTCTTCATTTCCAAACTTAAAGTCTCATCTTGGATTGACTTCCTATAATTTGAGAGAATTTCCAATGTTCTTGAGAAACCACTCTCGAATATCTCATCTTGAACTCTCAAACAACAAAATTAAAGCTCTAATACCTCATTGTATTTGGGAAGTAATACATGAATTTGGTATTCTAAATCTTTCTATCAATTCTTTGATAAGCTTTGAAAGACATGTTCTAAATTACATTGTTAATTTGGATTTTCTCAATCCTCACTCCAAATAAACTCAATGGGAACATTCCTCCTTTTATTATCTCATCCTTTTTGGACTTGTCAAGTAATAACTTCAACAATGTTATTCCACATAACATTGGTGCTCAATTTCATTCAGTTGATTTCCTCAACCTTTCCAAAAACAAATTTTATAGGGACATTCCTCATTCCTTATGTAATATTCCACATATGTATTTACTTGATCTTTCCAATAATGTGCTTGAAGGACAATTCCTCCTTGTTTAATACATAGTGAGACTCTCTAGATACTAAATCTTAGAAAGAACAAGCTCAAAGGCAATATTCCTAATGCATTTCCAAAATCATATGAAAATTTATTTATGTTACATGTACAAGAAAATCAATTGAGTGGCTTCATTCCCAAGTCAATGATCAATTGCCAGAATTTGGAGCTGCTAAATCCTGGGAATAATTATATCAATGGTCACTTTCCATACTTCTTAAGGAACATATCCACACTCCAAGTCTTGGTTTTGCCAAAGAACAAAAATTTCAAGGTCCCATTGGATTCCTAGAAAATAATGGCAATTGGCTTGTCCTTTAGATTATTGATTTGGCATTTAACAACTTCAGCGAATTTCTTCCAACCAAAGCTTTAACAACTTGGGAAGCAATGATGCATAATTTTAATGTATCAAGCCCCTCTTACATCACATTAATGTTCTATGATGTCAATGGAGCATCATATTATTATTCAATGCAAATTGTGAGTAAAGGCCAAGATATGGAGAGGGATAAAATAATAAACTCCTTCACTTTGATTGACCTTTCATCTAAAAATTTTGAAGGGCCACTACTACAGAATACCCCCTTACTTGATAGTTATTTTAGAAATTATTTGACGATTTTTAATCGTCAAGTAATAGGGCGCCATATATTTATTTGATGGTTAAAAACTGTCAAATATTTTAGAGATTATTTGATGATTATTTCAAGATAACCATCAAGTAATCACTTAAACATTACCGTATACTGCAGCAATACACGTAATAGTTATTTAAAAATAGTTGTCAAATATTTAGCAATATTTGATGGTTATTTCGAAACACCCGTCAAATATGTTTTTGCAAATTCTGTGTGCCAAATACTTGACGGTTATTTCATAATAATCGTCAAATAAGTATACATACTTGATGGTTATTTCGAAATAATCGTCAAGTAAACTTATACTTGACGTTTCCTTCTAAATAACCGTCAAGTATTTATGATGTGTATTTTTTTTAAAAAAAAGTAGCCCCCTGCAAATACAAAGCAATCAGATATATATACCAGCTAGCCAATAATAAAAAATAATTGAATTATTATTTATATTGAAATTACAATTTAAATATCTTTAATTTCCTATATCTACCTATACCCTAAACCTAATGCCATAAAAAATCTATAACTTTACCTACTTTACAAGTTAAAATTTTAAAATTAATTGGCCTCAAACATAAAATTGACCAAAAAAATTAAATATGTATACCAAAACTAATTGGGCCTAACCACTGCTGCTATCCACATGTTAAACACGGCTTGAGTTACCTCTTCAAGGGTTTCCTCAAATATGTAGCTGCATATCAAACACAGTAAGCATCCTTGAAGTACTGTATGCAAAGAGTTACAACAAATTCAATTTAATAGCTATCTAACAAAAGTTGTTAAAATTTATAATTTAAGTATCATTAAATTTCATATATACCTTGTTAGGTAATGTGGTAAAGGCATGGGTGATAATGTCCTTTAAAAATCTTATCAAGTAATAGCCACAATCATTGCTCTGATCTGGTTGGAGTGGATACTGTGAAAAAAATCACATATCAATAAAATAATAGTTAAAAGGCCACGGTTTTTTAATTAAAAACTCAGCCCATTAGGTTTACCTTAATTGCGATCCATGTCTCATAAGAGTCCAATGCCCTTAAGTTGGGGGACAAGGTCTGTTGGTTGCAGTATGATACAAGACTACAGCTCTAAGAAAGAAGTAAAGAATAAATGTCAGAAATTCAATATACATAGATATTACAATAACAATTGACAAAAATTCAACTTACTTATTAAAAAGTTCTACTATATTTGGCCTATTGCTTGGTTCTCCATTAAGAAAATCGAGATATCAAATTTTTAGAGCAACAGGGTTACCCACAATAAGTATCCAATACCCCCTAATAAGAAATAACAAGTGTTATCAAATAAGTAAATATAAAAAATATTTACTTGTACCAAAAGTAGCTAGAAAGTGGCTTACCCTTAGCAGTAAGGAGCAAAAAATAAAGTATCATTGCTTGCTCCCCTATCCTTAAATTGATCCGAAAGCAGTTGTGCTTGATCTTCAAGAGCTTCCTTTATAATTCCATTATAGGCAGAGACATCGTAGGTATTAATCAGCTTGAATCTTGACTCAAGGCTGTCAGGAACCACAAATGAGGTATAAAGGTGGCTTAAGTGAAAAAATAACCAGGTTAATACACACGCGTGCACACACACATATATATAATTTAAGTAATTAACTGAGCATTATCGAAGAAATACCTCATGTAGAAGCCCATCAGACTAGTACTGACCATTTTATGCTTGAGAATTTTATTTAAAATTTCATTCCGAACAACTTCAAATAAGCCCGATCTTCCACACAGCCCATCATCAAAACTAATGATATCCCCAATCGCCACTTGGCTAGCCATCCTCGTAGCCATGGCATATATCTCAAGAGAGACATGGTATTTGTATTCTACAACTGGCACTGGTGCTGCTGGATATTGCGAAACTATGGTTGACTCTTTATTATGGCCCAACTTACTTTTCAGCTTACTCTTCCCTCTCAGCTGCACAACAAAGAAGTTAGATATTTGTAATTATATTATAAAATTATAAATAACTATTTAAACTGTACCTTTTTCTTTGGAGGCAATGGGTCCTTTGTTGGCTTTAGTGTTACCACTATTACAAGGCGACTAGGCCATGCAATGATTGCTTTCCCCACCATCTGTGCCTCATCAGTAGGAATAAGCAATGGATAGTTGGGGTTGATGGTAACAAGTATAGAAACTCTAACATAGTTGGGCAAAAGGGGATGATTATGGATCGTGTCCCTGGGAATGTTATACACATGCCTATTGCAACCACTCTACGTTCAGGAGTGTCTGCCAAACAAATCATTCTCGCCCTAATTAAACAAACAATGACAATTAGTTTCTAAAATAAAAATAATTAAACAAATTCATAAGATAAAACATATTACCTTAGGTAGTTTTTCTGAAGGGACTGTGCAGCTATCTTTCTAACTAGGGCTAATCTCACCCAAAGTCCTCCCAAGGACTTTCCCTTTCAATAACATGTCAATTGATGTTGCCTGGGCTAGTAGTTGCTACTTCATAATAACTTGCTCTTTCTCAGCTCTTGGACCTCAGACAAAGAAGCTGATGTTCACTTCTTTATCTTGCCAAAATATTGCTTCTTCGTGATGCTGAAGTCAACACCCCTAACATGACTAGGGTGGTCAGCAGTTCCCAATACCGTAGCCAAGATATCCTCATCTTTAGGAAGGTTGCCCTATGAGACTTCCTGAGAGATGGAATCCTGTGTAGAGTAAATATAATTAGTTTGGATATTCATAATTAATTATTAAGTAATAGATGAATATAATACTTACAATCTTTTCAGTAACCTCCTTCACGCGGGGGTTGTCAATAATTCCTTCTTTATTAGTGTGTGTCAATACCTAAAGCTTATGGCGGGATATGATAACCTCTGATCCCTTCTCCTATACTTATTTTTGCTCAATGCCTGCATACCCCCACCTCCCTGCTCTATAAGGATATTCGTTCTTCGCTGCTCTCTCCTTATTCTGAGCACTCAATTACTTGACAAGTTAATAACAAAAAATTTTATTAGTACATACACATACAATCAATAAATAACACCAAACATAAAATTTAAGAAACACTAATACCTTGAATTCCTTCTCACGTCGTGAGGCAACAAAAGCATCTCAATCCTCTTATTTACTAAAGGCTATAATAAGGGAGGAACTCGAGCTACAAATTCAAAATATTTCTGTGTAATGAAATATCTGAAAGACCGTAGTGCCCTCCTAGCCTTTTGTAGGACGAAATCTTGCCTACTTTCGTCAATATCAAATCCTGACTGCAAAATAAAATAAATAACATATTAGATGCATTAATTTTAAAAATAGTTTATACTAAAATATACTTAGTAAAATGTAACTTATTGCTACAGTATCCCAAACAAGAGCCTTCATGGCCTCATCTACTTTGCGCCTTGATTTTACTATAATAGGCACAGTAGTCTTTGCTACCACCCCACTATAACTTATGAATTTTGAGGATTTAATTGCTTGCCCTTTCTTGTTCCATTGCACATTAATTTTTTTTCCTGCAGCTCTTGTCTTTGTCACCTCTTCCATTATCGTTAGGCCCCGTTGAATATTATTGTACTCTTACTCTAGCTTTTTCTGTGTACTCAAAACCTCAGTCGAATTTGTAGTTAGAATTGATGAAGGAGTATCAACAGACTCACTATCAGAAGCCATTTATCTGTAAAGGAAGACAATTAAATCAAACATTAATTAACTTAAACAAAATTCACATATTTAATTCAAACATTAATCAACTTAAATAAAAAAACACAATTAATCAACTTAAACAAAATTCACACAATTAAGTCAAACATTAATCAACTTAAATAAAGAGAACACAATTAATTAACTTAAACAAAAAGTTTCATCATTCAAGTTCTCATATAACTTAATTATACTCAATCAAGTTACCTAACAATAATTGATATAAAAATTTTATCCCAAAAAATTCAGTAGCATAATAGCAAAAAAAAAAAGAGTTTTTAGGTTTTGAACCCTCTCTTTATTCAAAAATTTCATCATTCACAAGTTTTCATATAATACATAATCAAGTTATCTACAGCAACAATTAATACAAAAATTTTATCCTATAAAGTTAATATAACTCAATCATATCTAATCAAGTTATCTAACAACAAAATTAATCACCATCACCACAATAAAGAAAGCAAATTTTCAACAAATTCATATGATGCCCAACAGTAAATTAATTTTCATATAATCTTAAATTTAATTTCATAACTAACAAAGAACCAAAAACCAAAGCTTATATACATTCAATCGCAAATCATAGTTTCAATGAATAAAAAATTCATATTCCAATTGCTAATTCCAATCAACTCCCTAATTACAATCAATTGATAATAATACCACAAGGAAAAAGGATAAACCAACTTAGTTAAGAGAGGCAGAGCATGAGGATGAAGAAGAAGAGCAGGGGAAGGAGGAAAGAAGATAACTCGTGTTTTGCACTGTTGAAAAGCAAGTAGGGGAATTTGAAGTCAGATTTACCTTAAATACTAAACCCAAAAATGAATTAAACAGATAAAGGAGAAACTAAACTTATGTATGGAAGATGGAGAACAAACCTAAAACGCTCAAAATGAAGACTTCAATAAACGAACAACCCACGAACCCCAAAAAATGGAACCCACGAGCAAAACCCAAGAAGAATTGAGTTTAAATCTGTGTTTTTAGGCAGTTTCAGTGATGGAAAATGATTTTCGAGCACTCTAGGTGTGTTTTTAAAATTGTTCGAGTTGCAGAAATGTGAAAATGAAAGGTTCTGGAGCGTAAATTTAAAAGGCAATACTTGACGGTTATTTCGTAATAACCGTCAAATATAATGCAGATATACTTGACGGTTATTAATAAACAAGAGTCAAGTAATTAATTTTTTTTATTTTTTCATTTAAATCATATATTTGACACTTGTTTACAAATAACCGTCAAGTATACCAAAATATACTTGACGGTTATTAGCAAATAAGCATCAAATATATTTATAAAAAAATAAAATATGGGATGCAGATATATTTGATGGTTACGTCAATATAACCGTCAAATATATACTAAATACTTGATGATTGTTTTGAAACAAACGTCAAGTATTTAGTGCCTTTTTTATTTATCGTTTTACACTTATAACCATCAAATATAATGTGTCATATTTCACTTATTCTGTTGCAGTGGGCCAATACCAAAAGAGCTAATGAACCTGGAAGATCTTCATGTTCTCAATTTTTCAAACAATGCTTTCTTAGGAAAAATCCCATCTTCAATTGGAAAGATGAAGTAGTTTGAATCCTTGGATCTTTCAAACAACTCTTTGATTGGAGAGATTCCAACAGAGCTTGTAAGTTTGTGATTCCTTTCATTTTCGAACCTTTCATTTAAAATCATCTTGTGGGAATGATTCCTATAAGCACACAACTTCAATCATTTGAAGCCTCTTCCTTCCAAGGCAATGATGAGCATCTGGAAATGATCATGGAATTGATTTCATGTTTACAACAGGCACGGAATTTGGAGTGATTTTTGGTTTGGCCATTTTTTATCAGACCTCGCTTTTGGAGGAAATGGAAGATAAGGTACTGAAAATGTGTAGGTGATGTTCTTTGTATCATCTTTCCACCACTTTATCTTGATGATCAAAGGCATGAGGGACAATGGCACGTAGTTCTCCGTTGGAGCTTTTAAGCATTGGGCTTTGTGTGAGCAACATAATTAGAGTATTTTGTTATAAGGTAAAGCAATATATGATTAAATACAGCAGATTTTTTTATGTTTTTCGGTGGAACTTATACTTATCTTTTCTTGTCTGGGGTTTTCATGTGTATTTGTTTTTATATATGATATGTTTCCTTATGCATGGTTGTTTTGTCTTGTTAGTGTATATATCATATGAGTGTTTTTGAATATGTGAATATTATTTGGTATGTTTTAATATAGGGATAAAACAACTTTGAATTCCTTACGTTTTGAAATTCTATCAATTTGGTCCCTTAACTTTAATTTCTATTATGTCAATCCTTAATGTTTGGTTCGGTTATCAAGTTATTAATTTAAGCTTTGTAAGAAAAAGTAGCCTTAAAAAAATTGATGTGGAAATTAAATTGCTAATGCGGCAATATACACATGGATTAAATATGCCCTAATAAAAGTGTATAATATTAAATTATAAATTATAAAATAATAAAGTAAATAACAAATAAGTATTAGGACTTGACAAATTTGGTTGATATGTTTTCTTTAATCAACATGTATATTCCCACATCAGCAATCTAATTTTCACATAAGTTTTTTTTAGAGATATTTTGTTTTATAAAACTTAAAGGAGTAACTTGACAACAGAAGTAAACGTTAAGGATTGAAATAATAAAAATTAAAGTTGAGAGATCAAATCAATAATACTCCCAAACGTAAGGGACTAAGAGTTACTTTATCCCTTTAATATATCTTTGCTTTATTTTTATCTAGTATGGGTCTATATTTGACTAGATCATGATGATGATGATGATAATGTGTTATGATTATATGATTCCAAGTTTTGGACAAACTAGGTTATATAAATTATTTTTTCATTATTAAAGATGTCACAAAAACTTACATTAGTTAATTAAAATAAGAAAAATGTAACTATTGATCCTATACTTTTTAATGTGTCTTGGAATCAGTTCCTATACCTTTTTTTTCATTTTTCCTAATTAGTTTCATCTTTCTACAACATTAATAAATAAAAAAAAGAAAGAGCAAATCTATAATGAAGGCAAATGTGTAGAAAACTAGGAGATTAGAGTGACTTACAATTGGTATGGTGGTAGAGTGTGGAAGATGTGAGAAAGTTTGGGGCTTGTGTGGCTTCAAGAGTGATTAATAAAGATGTTATCTTAACTATAAGTAAGTGTTTAATGAAAAAAATGCACAATCAAGAGAGTTTTCATTAAATGATTATTGATAGTTTTCATTAAATGCAACACGTAAAGATAAAATTCGAAATGAGCACATACGTGAAAAAGTGAGGGTGGCACTTATTGAGGAAAAAATGGTAGAAAATCGGTTGAGATGGTTTGGGCATGTACAAAGAAGACCAAGGGAGGCACCAGTGAGAAGAGTGGAACATATAACTTTGAGTCCGATTAAGAGAGGTAGAGGAAGGCCTAAGAGAACACTCTTGGAAGTTGTTGAACGTGATCTCTTAATTAATAATATTTCTAAAAGCTTAATAAATGATAGAGCACAATGGCGTCTTGCAATCCATGTAGCCGACCCCACCTAGTGGGATAAAGGCTTGTTGTTGTTGTTGTTATTATTGGCTCCGATTTGTTCTCATATTGTTAAACGTGATTACGATCAAATGTCTCCATATAAACAAATATAAATATTAAAATGTTTTTGAAATTTTTGAAAGTTGAAAGATTAGGGGAAAAAGAAGCATTTTGACCAAGCCATTTGATCAAGCTGCACCGAGCTTATGAATGATTTTAGATGATATGTTGATGATTGTTATCGATTGATTATTCTTTTGATTTTCCGTTATGTCATTTTGGGCCCATGAATGAATACAGATGAATCCTTTTTCTTGGGCTTATTAGTCTCCAATGTTTTATTTCATGCAATGTCTTAGGTGGCCCAATTGATTCTAGTCATCTAGTCCAATTGAAATTGTGATGTAATCGTTTTACATTTTAATAAATTGACCTTCATGTCAGTAAAAGTACAAACCCCCAAAAAAATAATTTTTTTCTAATTTTTTTCTGGTCCATTGCTGTTACTTATCTTGATAATATTTAGAAATAAATTACTTTCAGGTCTCATACAAACAATCTAAACATAGGAAAGTCTTATAAAATCATAAAGTTATTATAAAATTTCAATCATTGTGAATAATTGTTAGTGAAGTTGCTTAGTTGATAACCAATAAAAAACAATTAACAATTATAAAACAACAATTAACAACTTCAGGAAAGGACACAAGGTTTGAGAGTGATTTTGTAATTTAAGGAGATTTTTTTTTTTGAATTAAAGGAATAGGCACTAACGGCGTAATATTACAAGCGAGATCAAACCTACGACCTTTCACTTACAAAGAGTTCCCATACAATAGGCTACAAGGCCATTGGCTGGAGTTTTTTTTTTTTTCCACATTTAGATTGCTTGTAGAAAACTAGAGAGAGACTTTCCCTAACATCTAAAAATAAGTTATATAAAAAAATTATTTGAAAATAAATAAAACAAATAAATTTGGAAAATTATAAATAAAAATTTCAGTATTATTTGACATAATTAAATAAAATTAATTTTGCCTTTATCGAGTGAATAAAAAATTTTTCAATCATTTTTAAGATTTATATAACAGTTATTACAAGTGACAACAAAACATGTAGATATTGTGGAGTATTAGTCAAACGACAATTCAATCTAATTCTGTCTTTCCTTTTTGAAAAATAAGACAACACATCATGGCAAATGTCACATTCTTCTTTATCAATCAATTACAGTCATGATTGGTAATTGGATCACTAGATTTATGGTTTAAATGTGAATATAAAACTGAATCAATATTTATATAAGTCAAAAACTACAAAAAAAAAATGGATCTAACAAAATATATTAATCTTGATGAATTAATATTTAAATATATTTTTCAAAAGAGGTACTCACATTTAGTTCATGACAATATTTTAAATAGGATTATTTTTCAATAAAAAGATATCAGTTAAAAATCATATATATTGATCGAGTACTAAACAATTAATCAAGTATTAAATAATTAGTCATTAATCTTAAAAGAAGTTGAGATGAATACATCTCTTTCTTTGCCCATCATTATAACAATTAAATTTACTCTAGAGTTAATGGGGTTACAGTATTACACACACAAGTTATAAACTCTTTATAATAGATTGATCAAAAAGAAAGAAAATGAAACCTTTGGCATATATTAGCATTTTAAAATATTGAACTCACATAAAACATTAAATTAAAACGCCCTTTAAAACGTAAAACTAGCCAATAAAAATAAGATTGTCGTGGAAGCAAACAGTCTCTTGTATGATTTGAATTTTGATGCAACCATAGAGGCAATAAGACAATATTCTTTCCATGGTAATAATTATTTATTTAATTAAAAAAATATTTTCATACGATCAGAGATGGATTCAAAGGGGCCAAGCACCCAAGTTTTAAAAAAATTTGTTAAATTTACATGTTTTTTATTTGTTAAAAATGTTAAAATTAACATTTGACTCCCACTATAATGTAGTTTTGCATTTTGGCCCCTCTATGCAGTTTGTTCTAGGTCTGTCCCTGCATGGCATGCGATCCTAGCTGAAGATATATACACAGAAAAATTAATTTAGTTTGACTAAAATATTCTATCTATATGCCCATAAAATCGCATGCAAGAATAACTAATGAAGAATAATACAATGTTGTTAACAGTGGCGGAACTAGTTTCAATGGCAACGGGGGCCAAAAATTTTTAATAGAAAATAAATTACATATAGTTATATAAATATATATATATATATATATATGAAAAAAATTAAAAAAAATGATTAAGTGAAATTATATATGCTTTTTGACTTTATTAAGTTACTTTCAACATATTTCATCAAAATCCATAAAACTTTAAAATTTATTAACTTTATCTAAAAATTTAATAAGCTCTTAATTTTACTTTTCTTAAATATGCTAGTAACATTTAATAGAGATAAAATGATACAATAGAAGTTGGAAAAAAAAAAGGATACAATAAAAAGTCAATGATATACCTTATAAATATAAACAAAAAATTATTCTCTTTTTAAAGTTATGGATAGGATCATAAGGAGTGTTTGTATTAATTATAAAAAATATGATAGGCAATACTCTTATTAAAAATTTGTAGTTTTCAAAAAATTATGTGCTTAACCTTATATATTTAATATATTTATATCTAATTAAATTATAATAAGTGAATCTTAATATATTAACTAAATTAATAACAAGACTTTATCATATTATAAATAAGGAAAAATATAATTTTTTATCCTTATAGTTTTATCAGTTTTTATTTTTAGTCCCTGTAGTTTTTTTAGTATTTTTAGTTCTAAAAACATTAAAAAAAAAACTACAAGAATTAAAAACAAAATCTAATAAAACTATAAGAACTAAAGATTATGCTTTCTTATAAATAATCTGTAAAATATTCACATATTTTGATTCAATTGAAAATAATTACATTAAATATATAAGTTTTTTCCCATCCTTATTCTCAAGTAAAGTGTATAACTTATTATCCATGCAATGCCACATCAACAATACCTTTTTCCAATGCCACATTAACCATTAGATGCAACTTTCCATAATTGTGTAATATTAGATGTGAATAGGTGAAGGGGAACACAGAAATTATTATTTCTAATAGAACATGTCTTGCAATTTCCTGTAAACATAAAGAGAGGATGACAACCGAAGTCTCAAAGGGAAAATTTTATCTCAATAAAGTCTCAACAAATTCCAAAAAACAAAATAAGTCCCAAAGATCCTTAGCTAGTATTATGATACTTTGGAAAAGACTCAAATACCCTCAATAATAATAATAGAATAATTTGAATACAGAAATTTGTCACTTATCCTCTCAGGTTTTGCAACTTCATTTACCTTAATTTGCAACTTGATTTCCTAATTTTATTTATAAACACAATATTTTAATATGGAATTTTGAAATTGTTGGTAACTTATTTTCTCAGATTTATAACCCCATCTAGTCAAATTTGCAAACCCTCTGTCCTGACTTCATTTACTAACATATATTTGCTGAAAACCCAAGTGATACCACCACCACCTCCTCCTCCACCATTTACACAGTGGAGAAACCACATTCTCTCCCTCATTCCCACTCACTTGTGCTGGTGGCTTGGTGCCTCCTATTGCATATGGCACCACTCCCACCATTCCCAACTCAAGCTTCTTCTTCAATAATATCTGATTCACAAATGCCATTTTTGGAAGAAGAAGATCCATTTTTGGTGCCTCCCCTTCTTTTGTTCACCTTTCCACTGTTAAACCCAAAATCAGTAGAAGAAGATCCACCATTCTTTGAAAGCTTTTGGTCCCCCCCCATATATTGAACCTAGTTGTGGACTTTAGGAATAGTCGATGACGCCGCAGCAAGCGATGCATTTTCGGATCATTTGGGTAGTGTGATGGAAATGGTGGAAAAAGAGAAGGTGGTGCCACCTGGGTTTTTAGCAGATGTATGTTCATAAATAAAATCAAGACAAAGAATTGCAAATATGAGAAAACAAAGCCGCAAACAATTTCAAAATTCCATGTTAAAATATTGCGTTTATAAATAAAAGTAAGAAATCAAGTTGCAATTTCGGGAAGATAAGTGGCAAATTTCTGTCTTTGAAATATTCTATTAGAATTATTAAAGATATTAGAGTCTTTTTTTAAGGTATCATAATACTATCCAAGGACCTTTGGGATTTACTCATCCAGCCTTCTTTATAAGTTATTTCTATCAACTTTATCAATATTAATGTAAAAAAAATAAAAACTAAAATAAAAGTGTGTAAAATTTTAAATATATCTCTACATAAAAAATTTAAAAAGTGATGTTATTTTTTCTCTCTTATAAAAGGTAATTCAAAAATATTTTTTAAATATTACTTAAAAAGCTGCACCATAATTTATGAATAAGATGAATGGACTTCCTAAAATATATCTATTACATTTCAGCTGGAATGTTGATAATATGTAAGATGATACAGGCGTGGCTGGTAAATATCTGAAATAATTTATAGGAAAAATGCTGTTGTTTCTCTATGTTATGTACTTTTAAAGTGTTTTGTTATTAATTCTTGTAATTTTTGTTATTGTTTTAGGTCCTTTAAATTTCATTTATCTAAAATGTTAGTTCCTATATTTTTTAAATATGACTATAAAAACTTAATAATGACTAACATGTGCATAAACTCTATTATTTCTTGTGCTAACTTGTGTTAAAATTATAATGGGTTATATAAAAATGAGTAAATGACAAAAAAAAATAAGCAAAAAATTTAAATAGGAGTCCTTGAATGTGCAATGAATGAAACTTCAAAAACACACAATTAAAGCATATAAGTAGAAAATTAGAAGTCATTTTGTTCATGTAATATATATCTCATCATAATTTTACTAATTTGACAACAAAATTAAACAAAGTTGTGTATACATTAGCAAATTTAATGTTGTCAATAACGATAATGAGTAACGCACAATACAAATATATGACTAAATTTTAATATTAAAACATGCTAAAAATATAGGGAACAAAAAAATGGTATTTTCCTTAATACACGCACATTTTACTAATAAAAATTTGTTGACATCATTAAAGTTAATTTCTTTTTTTCATCATCAGTCTTTCACAATATGACAAAATAAAAGTTTGAATCTCTATTATTAGATGTGCCTATACTTAATATCCAACTACTATTTGAACAAAATTACTTGTAATAGAATAATATATGTGCATGATAAAAAAATAAAAAATTGATCAATATCGTTTTGAGATTTACAACAGCAGTTAAATTAATGAAAATTAGCACCTAAAGCTTACCAGATCATCATGATTTGGAAAAAGATAGGGAGGAAGGGCAACTGAAAGATAAAATAAAAGAAAATGGAATTTATGACAGTGAAAGATAAAGTAAAAGAAAGTGGAATTTAGGAAAGGGGAAGATAAAACAAAAGAAAGTGGAATTTAGGAAGCGTCATGGGTTACAACATAACGGAGAGATAAGGTGGGGTCTCAGTCAAACGACCACCATGGAATCTAAACGACGGCTTTCAATTCCTCCTCCATTTTTTTTATTTTTTTTAATATAACACAACATCATGGCAAACGTCACCCTCCTTTTCTTCAATTATTGTCTTTTTTTTTTCCAACTTATCAATTTTTGTCTATCACTATATATATAAGGCAAATGCCACGTTCTTACTTGTCAATCCATACCTCCAATATATGTATACATCTTACCAAATTAAATATTTATGCACATACGAAATTAATTGTATTTATGAATATCGTGACTTTTTTATAAATTTATATTAATGTTTGGACTAAATTTAGTGCACTAGACCTGAAAGAGATATTAGTAAAAGCCCATCTCGAAATCTACTGTAAGAAACGCCCCATGGAAGATGGCTCCACGAGGATAATGGAATGTCGCATTTCAAGAGTCAGCAAACCAATATCGCCACTCATCCCAACCTTTCGAATATTACGTGCACTTAGCCTCACCACTTATCTACGACGTGGCACACCGTTTGCGTCTCAAAGGTTGGACAGTTATCTGCTTCTTTTAAGCAACAAAATTTAAAACTAAAGGAGGGTCACTACCTGACTCTATAAATGGGTAGCAAACGTGTAATTAAAGGTTTGTCAACACTTTGCGAAACGCAACACACTTGCCTAGACAAACACTAACCCACATTCATTCAAGTTTACTCATCGTGACTCACTTTGTTCATACCAGCTTAGTGTCATAGTCTAGGAACTCCCAATTCTTGAATCGTGTTGGCCTTAGCGTGATCAATCTCTTAATCTTTGCTAAGTCAGTTGAACCTTCAGGATGTAGGTAAAGAAATTGAAAAACTTAAACACAAGAGAGAAAAGAGCTTGAAACTTTAATTACTTTCTTTATTGTTTATAAATGAGGGGTTGTGGGGTATTCATAGGTCTCTTCCTTTCTCTAAAAAATTCTCACCTCCTTAATGGACGGTGAAGATCAATCTAATCCTACGATTTATATTTATTTTCTAGAGTATTTCATGAAAATATCTACAATAAATATTTAAATATTTATAAGGATATTTTTAGACTAATATTTAAGATGTGTGTGGAATGTTCTAGAACATTCTAGAATATTCTAGACACCTTCACATTCTTCCATAAATTTTTAAAACCTTCTAAAAAGTTTTAGATTTTTCTAAATATTTTTATGTTGTTTTAAAATATTCTAGAACATACTAAATTCTTCTTGAACGTTCTGGATTGTCTTGAAAATCTTTACAAGGTCATGGACATCTCCAAAAGCACCGTGATCTCATGGTTTCTTCTCTTTTTAAACAAAGATTGTGAAATTAGGCTCCTTAAGCTAGTTTTACTTTGTTGCTCTCTCTGCTTGATGGAACATGAATTGTACTTGCACCTTAGTAATACAATTGACTGTTGTCCATCGCTTGGTGTACTGTTGGTTTCTCGCATTTCTTTGGCACTCCAAAGAATTTGTGATAAAAAACTTTGACAACTCACGCAATCGTTTGATCTAAAACATTAGACTTTTGAAGATCTACTCCTCGGGCATGCTTGACAAACCCTCGAGGGGCACGACATTTTAGACTCCATTCTCAAAACCAAGCCAACATATAGAATATATATTAAAATAAAACTTATTTCAAACTCCTTACAATATATGTCGCTTATCATCAAGCATCATATAAACGATAACAATATGAGTAAAATTATGTCTTAAAGACTTATCTTTCTATACTTTAACCGGTAACAATATAATTTATATTTGTATCTCATTATTAGAAATTTCTCATCAATTTTTTGTATTATATTAGTTTAAACATTTAACTTTAAGTTTATCGAGTCTAACAAATCTTTCAAACCTTTTAAGTATAAATAAGCTCATTTTTGAAGACGAAGGCATAAGAGTTATTACACAAACTACCTTGTTCATATTTTTTACCAATTGCATATGCTTTTATTTATTATATTTGCACTTCACTGATTGTATGTAAGCTCTTTAAAAAAGTATTTCACTATAGTAGTTCACTTTGTGAACTTACTCTGTTTATTTCTATTTTACCTACTTGAAAATAGAGGACTTAGGTTTGGAGAACTTAAGTAGGGTTAATTAATATTTTTGTAAAGGGGAGCGATTCAACCTTATTGTCTGGGATATATGGCAACAAAAAGCTTAGATTAATTTTGGTGAACTTAGTAAAGAAAATCTCACGTGAAGCTTGAGGAATAAATGTAGGATCGAGTGATTGAAACTGATACCTGATAAATACACGTGCACTCTTAATCTTTGGCTCTTTGAATATTTAGTGATATCATTCCTTCTCTAATTTCAGTGTTATTTGTCAAAAATTTTATTTGGCCCAATTCATCTTTTCTCTTGATCTCATTTACAATAATTACAAATGAATAATCATAACAATGAAAGTATTAAAAAAAAACTAATTTTACTCCTATGCATATCTTTAGACAATAAAAAAAATGTTTGATTTTAGAATTTGTTATCATCATTTATCCTCAAATGTAAACAAAATTTTATCTTAATTTCTAAAAATCTTTTTTACTCCCACACATATTATTTTAAAAATTTGTAACATGTGCATGTTAAATTTAAAAAAAAATGGTCGGATGGTTACTACGTCAGATGGTTATCAGTAGTAACCATCCGACCACAATTACCATAAATTATAGATATGGATTTTCACATAGATATGTCAATAATTACAAGATTTCGTCAAAAGTATAATGTCTGCATCAATGTTTTAAATAAAGTGAGCAGTAAAAAAGACAAAGGAGATGAGTAGGCGAGTAGCCTAGACATTGTTTGGCTGATTTTTTTTTTATAATGAAAATGAGTCATTTTTCCTCAATCCAACTAAAATAAAATATATCTAATATTACATGATAACATGTAAATACCAAATGCTGAGTAATCAAATAAAATCTATTGCCTTGGAATCGGACTCGACTCGGGCTTCTCTATGATTATATTTAATCTAATCATTTTATTGGTAAAAATGATTTCTATGGAAAATTTTACAGAATAATCTGTTTTTTTTTTCAAACAGAATATTCTGTGACAGTGGCTTTTTTGGAAACAAATAAAAAGATAGAATAATCTCTACCCGTGATGGAATAATATTATGATTAATCTTCATAATTATTATGTTCCAGAACACAGCCACGCGAATGCTATGTAAGTGCGAAGCGACACATCGAGCATGTGATCCCAGCTTCACCACTAGTCATCCACTACGCACATTGTCATTTACCAACTTGTCCCCCCTAACCTTTTTTGGGGAAAGAAACAAGGATCACAATTAAGTGCCAATACAATATTTTAATTATATTTCAATTTTGAGAAAGACACGCCTATCAATCCCTAGAGTTTTTAACAGTTTTAGTATAGGTCATTATAATTTTTTAATATTTAAGATCCCTCTTATTTTTCACATCTACAATCTTATTTAGTTTCTCTAGTTTTAATTTTAAATAGAGATATGATGATATGTCACTAATGATATGAAATATATTGATCTATCACTAATAATATTCATAAAGATGATAGAGTGTTAAAATTTTGATGACATGACATGTTGAAGTAGTTGATTTCATTCATGTAACCAAGCTTTAATTTCTTTCATTTTTTAGGGCATAATCTTCATTGTCTTTGAGATTTTAGTACCTCAATTTCATATTTGACATTGTCAATGACAACTGAGCAAATTTGATATGGTTAGTGTTACATTATTGTTCCTCTAAAAATATTTAAAAATAAAAGTTCTGAGGTTGCAAACTTAAAAAATTAGACGGACTTGAAATAATAGAAAATGTATGAGGATCTATACCAAAGTATATTAAATCTATAAGGATTAATAGTTGTATTTTTTCTAAATTTTAAAATAGTCAAGAAATATAATATATATATATATATATATAAGATTTGCAACTAAAACATATTTATAATTATTTAAATAAATATTTGCAACTCATTTTTTCTCATGTTATTTTAAGAACTCCATATCATTTAAACAAAACGATGGAATCATTTTGGGTTGTACGTTGTAACATTTGACATTTTATAACGAGAGCATGCATATTCTATTGACCCTCAACACTAAAACCTTAAGTTTGAAAGACTAATATGTAAATTTGAAAATGACAAGAAAATGGTGAATCAAAAGGGTAGTAGGACTTAGGCAAGCAAGGATCATGAGAGCTTGTTTCAAGAGATGAGAGCTATGCAAGAGGCCCTATGAGAACTCAAGAGAATGCTCTCTGAGGACCCAAGGAAAGGTTTTGATTTGCCTTTAAGGATAAGAAAATTAAAGGCTAGAGTGGACAACAACCAACCCTCCTAGCATAAGACTATAGAGCAGTGGTGGAGCTATATGTTATGATCAAGGGTGCTCTCATTTTAGGAAAAATTACAAGTAGAGATGTAAATTTTGTAACTTTGCATCCCTTATTTTTTGATATTTTTCATCCCTAGACTAAATAAAAAAAATATATGAGAGAATGATAATTGTGAATAAATTCAAACAGTTACAAATAAAAATTCATGTAATAATTTAAGAGTTATGTACATTTAATACTTAAATACTTATTTGCAATTAAAACTAGTGGATTTGTAACTATCTGAATCAATAGTTTTAACTTATTTTTAAAAAAACTTGTTAAAGACTTAACTATCACTAATTCAATGTTTTGGGACTTAATTGTAATTCTCTTTAAATGTTTAAATTCAAAAACTTATTAGATATGTAATATTTTAATAATAGAAGTAAGAGATAAAGAAACAAGAAACATATCTACACAAAAGATTACATCAACTTATTCAATATAAATTTTCAAAAAGAAAACTACTAATTAATTTACTGTGTTAATATAATTTTGGTCTTAACATAATTATTAATTTTATTTATTAAATTCTTAAAAAATTATTAAATTTTAAATCGAATTATTTTACACTCCTAACTCAATGCCTTGGTTCTGCAAATTGTTATAAAGGAGGTAAGTGAAGACATTTGCAAGTCCTCTATCACAACTGGATCCTTTGAGGACGGGAAGAAAAAAGCTTTCAGCTTTAGTTAGCTTTTGGGCCCTCTTTGTTGAACCAGGTTTAAAATTTTGGATTTTCGTCCTAACCGTTTGGGGTCACATCATTCAATAATCATGTTACAACTTTGAATATTAAGTAGATATGGCACATACGATAATAGTCTAAGTCCCTTAAGTATTATTTTAGAATTTAATTTTTAGATGTGTGTATGAAAAAATATTACTTAAGAGAAAATGACCTCTTTAATGACACACTAATTTCTCAAAGAATTAGTCTTATGACTGTCAGTTATGAAAATATTTTGAGCAACAAATAAAAAAAAAGTTACAACGTTGAATTTACCAGCATGCATTGGTTTTAATAAAAAGTATTATGATCACTTAAACATAAAATTTTGATTTTGAGTCTATCTAAATATAGAAAATACTTTTGAAAAGGTTACATCTAATTAAGCTCGACAACACTCAAATCTAACAAAATTAGATAGTCATATTCTCAAAAAAAAAAAACTTTGGTTTTATGCCTCACAATTTAAGTTAGCTAGATTAGCCTTGATGATTGATTGCTGTAAGGTTTTTATGTTTTCTTTGGGATTTTCTTTTCCCTTGCCTTTGTGCCCAAAAAAAAAGAAGAGAAAAGAAAAGGAATTGTAGAATGAGGTAGTTAGACCGTTATGGTTACTTAAGTGTTGGGATCCCTTTTGTTAGAGGTAGTTAATTTGTTTTCTGGTTTTTTGTATGTTTCCTTTTAGGTTTTAAGCCTCACATGCGATTAAAAAGGTCTCAATTAAAAATCTAATATTGTAACAAGTTATATTGTTGTGCACTTAGTGGGATCTAATGAAAATGAAATCAAACGGCAATAAATAAATAAAAGCTGAGACTTATACTCTCTTTTTTCCAAAAAAAAAAAAATTATTGCTTAAAAGACAAAAACTAATGAATATATAAAATATATGAGTGTGATTGACATTACAAAAAATTTTCCAAATACAATTCTTTTTTTATTAACGAAACAAACTGAAAAAAGAAACCTTTGTTAATCTAATTTTTCAGAATCATTATCAACATGAAATATAAAATTATACAAACAGTAGCATTCACAACTTGCAAATAATATGAATTAATTTTTTTCCACACACATGTTTTCTTATTAGAGACAATAATATTCAAAAAAATAGTTGAGTACTAAATATAAGTATTCTGCTCCAACCTACAAGTGAATTACGGTTCTTGATCAAGAATTATGCTTAACATTGTATGCAATATGCACAACAAAAATGTTATCAGCCAATATCCATATTATATTCAATATAAAATCTATGGCGCTTGGGGTCTCTTCAGTTAAATTTAAAAATTGTTCAACTGAAAATCTTTAAAAAAAAATTGTTTGTATACAACAAGAGCACAATAGAATCGAATCTCTTGGATGGACCCCTTTTTATTTTTTGGTCAATGTGTGGTCCCTTTATAAATCAGCCACAAATTAATAAATGTTTTTTTGTTTTTCCCCTTTATTAAAATTTATTAAATACACCCATATCCTCTTAAACTTCTCGTTCCCGGAAATCTCGATTCTCCCATGAGAATTCTCAGCACACGCCGTTCTCGTACTTCCGCCTTATATAATCGCAACACTCTTTCTTCCATTTCAATTCCATTTCCAATTCAATTCTCTTCTCTCTTTCTCTTCCACTCTCTTTCTTCACATCTCACTCTATCGCCTTCAATGGCTACTTGTGTTGGCACTTCGACGGCGCGCATAAACGATTCCGACCCACTTTCTCGGAATCCAGACAGGGACGGCCAGACCATCGATTATTCCTTCAACTATGTGAAATTCTGCCGACCCACTTTCTCTGATCGTTCTCCGGTCGTGCCCTTTTCCGTGAACGGTGTCAATAGCTTACACACGCGGACGGCGCCGGAGGAACTTCACCGGCAGGATGAAGAAGAAGGGGAGGAGGAGCGGGAGGAGGATGATCTCTGGGCGAAGATGCAAGAGGAAGCAAGATTAGATGTCGAACAAGAGCCGATTCTGTCTTCCTATTTCCATGCTTCGATTCTGTCTCACCAGTCGTTGGAATCCGCGTTGGCGAATCATCTCTCCCTCAAATTGTGCAGCTCAAGTCTTCCCAATGGAACCCTAATCGACCCCTTCGTCTCCACTCTTACTGAAAATGAAGAAATCATGGAAGCCGTGAAGTACGACCTGAGAGCCGTGAAAGAACGAGACCCAGCTTGCATAAGTTATGTCCATTGCTTCCTAAACTTCAAAGGCTTTCTTGCTTGCCAAGCTCACAGAATAGCTCACCAATTATGGTCTCAGGGAAGAAACGTGTTGGCCCTTGTGATTCAGAACAGAGTTTCTGAGGTATTCGCTGTGGATATCCATCCAGGAGCAAAAATTGGAAGAGGAATTTTACTGGATCACGCAACAGGATTAGTGGTAGGAGAAACGGCAGCGATAGGGAACAATGTGTCAATTCTGCATAATGTGACATTGGGAGGAACTGGGAAAGCTTCAGGAGATAGACATCCCAAGATTGGTAATGGGGTTCTTATAGGTGCAGGGACTTGCATTCTGGGGAATATAAAGATTGGAGATGGAGCTAAGATCGGTGCTGGTTCTGTGGTTCTGAAGGATGTTCCTCCAATGACTACTGCAGTTGGAAATCCAGCAAGATTGGTAGGAGGGAAGGTTAATCCTGTGAGGCTGGACAAGATTCCAAGCTTCACAATGGATCATACTTCACATATTTCTGAGTGGCCTGATCATGTTATTTAGATGATACTGGTTGCTAGTCCTCAATTGTATGGCTACAGGGTTATCATTGCTACTATTAATATAGGCATTTATCTCATGAGTAGGAATCTAAATCTTGATTTTTCATGTTATGAATAACTAGCCCTTCCGTTGTACCAAAACCCTGCTGGTGGTATTGTTACTGTTATTATTATTGGGCTAATATACAAGAGAGCTATTGTTTATCTATTAGGGTGATGGTACTGTGGGATTCTCTGTTTGTTTGTTTGATAAGTGAGAATGCATGTTCTCCTGGAAGTAAGCAGAGAGCCCTTGAGAGCTTGGTGCTAAAAATAAGAGCAGGTTCATGATTTTGATTTTTGATATGTAATAGAGTATGTTGTAAGGTACAAGGACTTCCCTTTATGTTATGCAATATATGAATTTTGCTGCTGTTACATTCATTTGCTTTTGCATGTGTGTCTTTGGGCATAGAAACCTTATCCTACTTGATACAATGATGGACTAACTTCTGAGTTGATTTCAAGTTGTTTGTACATCAAAATTTTCAACTAAGGCATGTCATGTCGTTATTCCCTCCGGGCTCAATAAAGTAGAGGTAATTATTTCATGGTTCTCCAAAAAAAAAAAAAGCCTTGGAGTTTGTTTTACAATCTATTTTGAGAATAATTTTTTATTTTCTAAAGCAAAAAGAAAAATTTGATTGGTAATATACTTTTAAAAAGTGTTTCAAAAAAAATCAAATATTATTATGAAGAATAAAAGAATGAAAACATCTTTTAAGTATTTTAGAATTATTATTTTAAAAAATAAAGGAAAATTTAAAAACCATCTATTATTATTTTTTATTCTCATAACATGTTATATAAAATTTCAATTCTCAGACTAATAAAACAAAAATAATTTTAAACAAACCCTTCATCTGTAAAAATTTTTTTGACCTATATTCTTTTTAAATATCCTGTACAAGTGTTTAAATAATAACAATTAAAATTTTAATATGTCACTTTTTAATAAATAAAATAGAGAGCAGTTGAAAATACAATTGTAACAAGTACTTAATATCTTATATTTTAAATTAAATAGAATTCCTAGAATATGCTATAGATTATGATTCCGGAGAGAATATAGCATCAAAGACGACAAGACACAAGTAGATATTGGATGAATGCCGTCTTTGCTCTATATTATAAGTCTATATTCAGTAAGAAAGATGTGTGGGATTAAACTTCTATGACTAGGTATATTTTTGACCAGATTCTCTGTGATTAGGAATTGAACATGGATCAATTTGAATTTCATATTTGCCTTATGACGAGGTAACTCTGGCTTTTCCCTGATTCAGTAGCCATTATTTGACTTTGGTGTAAATTTGTAACATGATACACTGTAATTAATTAAGTTATTGGTTTCGTAAAAAGGTTGTTGAACAAGTGGATGAAAAAAAGACATGAACTTGATTTGACATCAATAAAAGAGGTCTGTGATGATCTACAACACTGGCCATTTGTGGCAAAAACAGTTTTTTGGAAAAACATAACCTTGTTTTGCTCGCATTTTATTATTCATTCTCATATATTTTTTATATTTTAAATTTTTAAATTTTTATTTTTTAGTGTTTTAAATTTTTTTATAAACAAAGTATAGAGAGACTTTAGAACAACTTAAAATATTAAAAAAAATACAGAGACATAAAATATTAAAAAAATGTAAGAATTAATAATAAAATGCGAGTATAATGTGGGAATTTAAAATTATATTTTTTTATTTTTTAATAAAAGTTTCTTTTATAAAAGCTTTTGTGGCAAAATATGAACGGCAATCTTCTCCTCCTTCATTTCGTTGTGTTTTATTATATTTGTATTTTAAGATTATTGTACATAGATTAAAAATTATTATAAATATAATATACTTTATTAAATTTGATATTTATTTAATCTCTTTTAGAAATTATAATTTATAATAATAAATAGTAAATTATTTCAAGAATAAAACAAGAAAAGTATTATAGAAAAGTATTATTAAATGTTGTTTTAAAATTCTGAAAAGACTGGTCATATAAAAGTTTTTTTTTTCCTTAAAATGATCAATATAATGAAACAGCAGGAGTAATAAATTTCCTTTCCTAGTTTAGGGATTAACTTGGCAAGTCTTGTTTGAGAAAGAACATACTTAATCAAGTTGGTGTTTAAAATATTAGAAAGATGCATATACAATATGATGATGATGATGATAATGATGATGCTCAAATCTAATTGAATATCAAATATTCTTCATCATCAACAACAACGACATTGTTGGTAAATGACTGCAAGAGCTCTTAGACTTCAATTAATGTTATTCCAAAATTGGCCAGCTCCATGTACTCTTAAACTTTAATTAATATTAATTGTCTTTTCAAAAAAAAAAAAAAAGGCTTAGCTGGCCCACAGTGGGTGGTTGATCTCTCGGCATTAATAACAATATATATATACATGGATGAAAATTACAAGAAGTTATTACCCAAAAAAATAAAACTCCTAATATTTACATGGTTTAAAATTTAAACCGCTACTTAACATTTCTTACCATTTTTAGCATTTAATTCATTCTCAACTACTAACATAACATCCTGACCAAAAAAACTATAACATAACATGTATTAGATTCAAGAATATCCTTGATAATGAACTCAAAATAATAAGCCTAAACATAAAACAAGGTCAACCAAAATAATGGATCATGGACTTGAGACAAGCTGCATTCTCTCTAATCTTGCACGGATATTTCGTTGCACTGGATGGCTCAGTTTTAGCTTGAAAACAATTGAATATGACTTGAACATGCGCAATTATGGTTTCAATCAATATAATAATAATCAAAAAGAAAAGCTTCCTATATTGGGTTCTCTTGCACTCACTCTTAAAAAAAAAAAAAGAAATACTAAGGCCCAAGTTTCGTTTTTCCATTTCTCTTTTGGATCAACTAATGACCCAAGTTCAATGATTGCAACAAAATGGTAAAAACCTCAAAACTCAACCTCACATGCATAAAGCCGAAGCATCTATTTTGACAATTACTATTCCTTTCACGCTTCGAGAGCCAGATATAGACAAGTTTAATTCTTTCTCAGACAAGTCGTAACAGTGAAGGCTGTGTTCCCCTCTTTTACACATCAGGACTTGTATTTAGAGATGAGAGGACAAAATGCATTATATGGCTTGAAGTCAGACAAAATTATAAACAAATAATGGAAGGGAAGGTTTTACAAAATTTTCGAAAGACCAAAAAGCCATCATCAAAACACATACCATGAAGTGCGAGACTTCCACGAGATCATGCTTTTTTCTCCTCAAAACAGACAAAGCAGACTTCATGGTAGATTGAAGAGTTTCCCTCAAGTGCCAAGGTTGGGAGGTCGGGTTGACACAGGAGCGCCGTGAGAGTATCTCCACCGATCACAGGCTGAGCACTTATCCAACTTCACACTGTTCTCCAACGTACAGAATTTACACGACCAGCTCTCGTACTTGGTGGCAGCATCTTTTTGCCTTTGTGTTCCACACAACTCACATATAGGAGCTAATGGCTGCAAGAGGTCAGGCATTCATTAATAATACGTAAGCAAGCATGTAATTAGTATATCAAATTATCAGTATATATATATATATATATGTATATGTAATAAATTGTTCCATCCACAAGCCTTAAACAGGATGAACCGTTCAGATTTTTTGCAACATACAGGAAAATATGTCTATTTTAAGAAAAATAAAGGAAGCCAGTTGAAAGATGCAGAAAATGATGATAAGAAAACTAAAATGCCCAAAATATCAAGGACAAGATGTTAGCGAGTTAAATAAAATCAGCAATGATCACTGATCAGTCCCTATCAGCTTACACATGAAAGCAAAACATACAAAATTGCTAGACATATTGAGACACAAAAAAGAAAACAGAAAAGAAAAAAAGACCCATTGAGAATATTTAAGGTGCACCCCGAGAGCTCAGGAAATATCTTATGCTAAAGTGAATCATAGTTTAATTGTCAGCTAGGAAGATAAAGTGACCCTTAACCCAAACCCTCGTGATTTAAAATCCTGACCTACAACTGCCTTCCCATTAGGTTAGAAGGCTGTAGGAAGCACTAAAGTAGAAATTTAATATGGAGTTATGTCAAAGCACAATTCATCTTAAGACAGAACTAGTGTAGGTCCTACACCTTAAAGAGTCAGGGAAATAAGCAGTATTGTTTATGACTAATGGATTATGGATAGTAAAACTTGCTAGAGTTATTATATAGAAATATAGATTATGTCAAACTGCAATTCTTTTGAGAATAAACTGCAAATGCTTGAACACAATATATTTGGATGCTTACCCTATTTAACAGAGTGCACATCAGGCACCCCCACATGCCAGATTCTTCAGAATGAAGTGTTCCACGATTATCAGGTAGTGACTTGGGAGAAGGAATTGACAAATCTGAAGCACTAGATTCTCCCTGAGTATAGGACCGAGAACAACATATCATTTCTGATTCAGAACAAATTCTCTGAGAGTTAATTTGATGTACACTGATGGATCCAAATTCTGTTGTATCCATAGTTAGGTCCACATATTTAAAATCTGAAGGGGCACTGAAACTTGGATCTGATTCATTCCTTCTTTTTTTGGATCTTGGATCCAAAGGTAGAGTTGAATTATCTCTTTTTCTTATGCATCCCACTTTTTCTTCCTTATGTTCAAGATCCTTAGCAACATTGTAGTCTGCATCTTCGTCAGATGAAAGTTCACAAGATTGAGAACCACACCATATATCATCCTGTAATCTCCTTTCTGCAGCCATTGCAGCAGCTTGCACTGGACTAAGTGCACACATTATTGTACTGTCACCACCAAGGCGTTTAGGCCCAGATGGAAGGAGAGGCCCCAAGCGTGCTCTATTTTCTGCAGCAGCAAGTGTAGCTTTACGGAGAGATGAAAGTGAAGGTAGTGAAGGTTGGCGAGATAAACCACCTAAACGCCTTCCAGGAAGGTCAAACCCCTCTGCTATCCCAGTTATTCCCTTAGTCATCAGCTCTTCACATTCCTGTACAAGATTAATAACATCAGCACTCGGAGAAACTCATGTCAAGGCAAAACACAAAACAAGGTCTCTTGCTAATAAAGAATAGTATAACTTTCCACATAGAAGGCATACCAGAAGATAAGTTCTTAGATGTTAGAACAATCATAAGCCAGAAATATGAAAAGCAGATAACAAAGTGCGGAATGGATGAACATGAACTAATACTCAAACTTTCAAGCTTTGTCATAATTAACATTGTCTATAAGCAATGTTTACTACTGAAGAAAACAATTCAAAATGTACTCAAACAGCACCTGCATGCTGTTTCTAGCATGACCTTTGGTTGAAGGTAAGTTGCAAGGGAAATATGCTGTCCGCCTTCTCCTTTCACTTTTTAACTTGTTTTGAAATCATGGTTGATAAAAAAAGACCAAAGCAAAACTATGATCTTCATCAATGAAAGCATGAAGTCTGGAATTTAAGAAATTAGAGTCACAGCACTTTGATTATTGCATATAACTGGATTCCTGATAACAAACCCAATGGCTAAGCCCTTTTTGCATGACATCCTTTACACTATAAAATATAGGATAGCAAGACATTTAAAAAAAAAAAAAGTGACACTTAAACATGCATATAACCCAAAAGGTAATGGTTTATAAACAGAAACAATTTCAAAACAGAGAAACAACATATTACATTTGCATTGCATGGGAAATAAGTAAAAGTAAAACCTTCCTAAGTTCATCCCAAAGCTTGTAAAAGTTGGCATTGTGAGGACCATGAATATTGTGGCAAAGCTCATGAAGCATTGTATCAAGAACTTGGTCAAATGGGAAAAAGTCCCAATCCCTGTTTGGCCTCCGCAGCCTCAACTTCACATGCACACCAGCTCCGACATTCAACCCTAGAAGCGCCGGACTTTTTGGGCTACAATTGCATTGATTAAATCAAAAGCAACATGAGTTTACCCAAGTCACTCAGAATTTCTTTCACGCAGCAATTCAAAAGCAGTTACTCTTACGGGAAGTTTATAGTCTTCTAGTAAAGCAGCACGGCATGGTTTCTAGTCTTTAAACACAGTTTATAAACGAGAGCCGAGGGAAGGGTGGGGGGGTCTACTTACACTGGAGGAGCAAAAGCAAAGTATTGAACAATCAGACTCATCGTTCTAGTTTACGGTAAAAAGCATTGTTCAGCTAATTTCACATTCCCCATTTCAGAAGGAAGCAATCATACCCTTTCAACAAAAAATCTAGTATAAATTTCCCACACGCATTCTAACTTCAGTTAAATCATTCAATTAAGAAACGAACATCTTTCCACTTGAACAGCGAATCGTCCCGCAGAAAGGGAGAAGAAAGCTTGAAATGTTCTAAATTATAAAACAACGGTGTTTCCAGAAAAAAATTATCCTCTCACTCACCCAATGTATTTTGTACTCTAAAATTCCCTCCTACAACCAAAACACCGGGAAAAATGTAAAGCGAGAATGAAAATTTTGATTTACCAGAATTCAGAAAGGACTTTGACCCTCCATTTGTGTTTACGCATAATAGGTTGGACCTGTTTGGCGATTTTCTCCAACATGTTCTTCGCTTCTTCTTGCCCAGCCTTTTTGAGAGCTTTGATCTCCCATACCTTGTTAAGATCCCCCACATTCATCGTTCTCAACAAAAAAGAAATCAAACCTTCCGAAAACCCTAATTCTGCTGAGGATCAAACAAAGAGGAAATTTAATTGCAGATTCTGAACTATTATCAGCAATCGCGTGACCAAAAACGGCAAAAAGAATCGAAGGATTGAGAGGTCATTTGAAAGTCGCTTTCGCCTTCGCGAGGTTGGCGGGGTTTTGAACATCAAGCGCCGCACTTGAGATTAATTGTGTTGCTTTGAGTTTGGCAAACAATTCGTTTATTAAAAATTAAAAATATATGAAATTTGAAAAAATTTGATTTGCTATAAAACATATAAGTAGTATCAAATTCTAAATGTTGAATGACAAATTATATCTCTATTTAGTACCTTTCTTGCAGTTCAATTGCGTGTTTTTCATTTTGCAATTCCAGACTATTACACTTGCTTTCATAGTCAAGTGTATTATTTGTAATTTCCTTTTATATTTTGACTGTAATATTTGATCATTTCAAAAAAAAAAAAGAATGAAAAATTTTATAAAATTTGATATTTTGAATAATAAAAATAAATAATAAATAATATAAAGCTTGAACGTTGAAGAGAAAGCATACTCTCTCGTTTAAAATTATAAAACATTTTTTAAAAGGTTTAATAATTAAAAATGGAAGTTATTTTTATTATTTCAAGGTATAATTAATAGAAAAAATGATAATAAAATTATTTTAAATTATATAAATGATAATTTGATCCTTCAAAATATCATAATTTCAATGAAGTTTTTAGAGACTTTTTTGTCATTAAGCAATTAATATGAGTGACTAAATTGCCCTTAGTTTAGGATTTTAAATGCAAACTTATGAATTGTTGTTGTATTCTAACGATTTTAAGAAAAAAAGTTATAAATTTTAGAACAAAACTTGTGAATGGTAATTGGTATTTGCAACACTTAAGGAATATTAAAATTTTAAATGCAAACTTATAAATTGTTGTTGAATTTTTATGATTTTAAAAAGAAAAATTATGAAACTTAAAACAAAATTTATGAATGACAATTGATATTTAAATTAAGAATAATTTAGTCGTTTATATTAATTTCTTAATAATAAAAAAATCTCTAGGAACTTCATTGATATTATGACATTTTGAAAGATCAAATTGTCATTTATATAATTCGAAGAAATTTTATTATCATTTTTTCATATTATAATATGCTCTTTTTCAACAATGTTCATAATAAATAAATTATTTTATATTTATTTTAAAGTAAAACAATCTATTGAATAAAAATATATATGAGAAAATAATGTTAATTTAGAAACAATTAATTATTTTATTGAAAAGTAAAATTTGATTAAAAATATTTATATTTTTTAACAAAATAAATATATAAAATAGGTGATTTTTACGTTGCCTCAAAGTCCATTTCAACCCGTTTTCCAGCCAAACAATTTTGGAGTAGGCTTCTATTTTCCTATTAATCTCTCTTCCTATCCTCCTCCTATCTTCTTCACTAATGGATTTTAACTTCATATGCGTTTTTTTTTTCTCTTAATCAAAAGTTGTCAAATATTTATTTAGTAAAAGTCATTTTAATAAAAGTTAATTTGATAAACTGAAAATTATTTAAATTATTTATAATGAAGATGCTTTTAAATATACAATTACTAAAACGGATATTAATTTTCATAATTTGTGGTTTCTATTATACAAATGCTTTATATTAGAGATGTTTGAAAAATATGTGTAATAAAAATTTTAAATAACATAAAATTTGATATGTTAAATAATAAAAAACATAAAAAGTTTGATATATTGAAAAAAATTATATAAATAGTCAATATACATTAATATTAAAAATTAATTAGGGGTAGCATAATAATATGAAAAGTAGGTATATGTTTTGATTCCCTCGTTAATACAATACCCAGCACCCAAATGCACATATCAAAAGTTCTCCCAGTGAGCAAATCCACTGTCAATCTCTTTCTCAAAGTGCTTCTGAAATGTGGTTTTATAAAAAAAATTTATCCAAACAACTTTTAGCTTTTAAAATGCTGCAAAAGTATTTACTAAAAATCAAAAGTTGATTACCCAAACAAAATGGTTGAGATTTAATATATTATAAAACTATAAAAAACTATTTTATAAAATGTTTTTATCACATTTCTAAACTCTTCAAACAAATTTTAACAATTTAAATTTATTTATTTATTATTTAATGTTATAATAAAAATTTTATAATATATTAAACCCCAATTATTGAAATTGAGATCCCATAATAGAGAAGATAGGAGGAGGATGGGAGGAGGAATCTAACTCCAATAACTTTCACTTTGCTTTGCCAGCTGAAAGATACTTTTTTTCTTTTTGAATGTAATTACTATAGAAACAGGCTTTTATAATGAGCCTTCAAATGCATATTTGATTACAAACAAAGATATTTATTTGGCTGTGTATATACACCAAGAATAAAAAATTAAATTTTTTACAAAAAAAATTAAATTTTTTTACCAATAAAAATATTTTGGTATTTATTAATATTATCAAAATAAATTACTTGTCACTTATTTTGCCTGTCACTTGTTACTGTTTATATATTATTCACTCTATTAAAAAATGTAACATATTTCTAAAGGGTTAAATGTGTAAAAATATAAGATATTTTTAATGTTTTAAGATGTAATTATTGTATTTTTTTTAAAAATGTCTTGATAAATAAACTAATCAACCATTTACTTCTAAGTAACACACTTTATTAAATAAAGGCAAACATAAAAAGATAGTATACGTTTAAAGACAATTAATTAAATCATTGAAACTGTAACTCAATTAAAAATGCTTTATATTTTTTAATAAATGAAGTTTCTTTTTTTAACTAGAATGTTTATTCACTTAGACATATGTTATTTTTTAACAATTTTTTCAAGTAGAGGAGAGGCTCATTAGGAGGTAGGAGGTTGGGTGGTATTCAAAAGACGCTTGATTATCAATTCAATCCTTTTTTATGAAGATTTGGAAATCCAATTGACTAAGTAGCTTGAAGATACTTTGCCTCAAGAAGATATCTTTAGGTATCAGAAATCAAGATTAGAGTTGATTACTGAAGGTGACCACAACCAAAACACTTATTATAAGAAGAGCGAATGAAAGCACCAAGTTAAACTTTAAGCATTGAATTGTAATCAAGTCAAGATTACAAGAGATCAAATGATTAATTTCTTTTTTTTTTTAATATTTCTTTGAATTGTACTCAATTGTGAATGTAAAAAATATGTTGAGCAGCCAAATCTCCACACATTGAAATATTATGCAAAGGCGCATTACAAGTTTATAATTGAAATTGAAATTATTGCCATCATAGTCATATGCAATTACATACAATTAGATCTGTGCTTACTAGACAGTGAAAATGTAATTTTTGACTCTAGTCCTAGAAAAAAACTTAATTTTGGCATATACTCTTGTCATATCTGCTCAAGCTTATCATAAATTTGATATTATATATAGATAGATATATATATATATATATATATATTTGAACTTTTCATCAACCACAACTTGCTGAAAGAATGTGGTGGTTGATGTTAGGACCAACTAGTTATTTTCTTTTCTAATATTTTTGTATAAATTCACTTCTTTTCTTTCTATTATCCCCCCTCCCCGGGGGGTTTTTGAACCTTTCAGATTGTATTATGTGCCTTTAATTCACTATTATAAAGGATCCAAACTCGTCATTATCAGACACCATTTAAGATGGCGTAAGCTGACTTAGATACATATTGCAGACTACGATAAGATGAGTTTAATTTTCATAACTCCACCAACAGTTAATATTTGTCACATATAATAAAATAACTTCACCGTTTAATATAGTCATTACATTTTAAATTTTTATTGTTAAATCCCACTAATAATGAATAGGTTTTAGATATAAAATAATAAGCCGTGCTTACTCAAGGAAAATCCATCCAGAACAGGACATTCAGATTTCAAAGACTTCAATAAGGCAGAGGACTTGCTAATCAAAATATTGGTATGCTGATTAACAAAACCAAATGTTATTTTCATGAAAGTGATAAGATCGTAATTCTTTAGTTAATGATTCATACCACTAGGTTAGATATGTTTATCTTCAGGTTTTACTTTGCTGTTATTATATTCTGAAAGTGTGACTATGCATGTAAATATCAGTAAGACAGAAGGAAAGGACCAAAATAGAGTGACTTATTCACAACAACCCAACCAAAACCTACCAAGAAAAATAAAAAACTTTTCCAAGCCATGGGACCATCTGATTAGTTTTGACTTGACACCCTACCAATGATCCAATGGCTAGAGGAAAATCAAGTGAGAATGACAACAAAGTCTCAAATGAGTGAATCAATGACAGTTACGTCCCAACAAAAATTTCTGAAAAATGAGTTGTAAATATCAATTTAGACAGTTACAAACATAAATCCAAACTGCACATTGACTGATATATTTAGAATTTAAATGTCTTATTTGCAATTAAAACTCTTAAATTTGCTAACTGTTTGAATAAATATTTACAACTTATTTTTCAGGAAATTTTGTCAGGACCTAACTGTCATTAATTCCTTCTTTTGGAACTTAAATATCATTATCTTAAAAATCAAAGTTGCATGCATAAGAGGTATGCAAGCTTTGCAACTCACTCTTCTGCTGACAATGTACTAATGCACTATTTCAGAAGTGATCAACCTTACACTTATTAGATACTTCTAATAAAAATGCAAGTTTACATTACAAAGTTACAAGCCTAATAATATACCATATCAAGCAAAAAAGAAAAGAGATACTAGAAATTCACGGCATACCAGATTTGATTTATTTATCTCAGAACCAAGGCGTGCATCTTGCTTCAAAGAGAGTTTAGGTGTCCCAAATCATCACAACTGCTATGATTCCAACGCCCAACAACACTGCAAGAAACTTGAAATAGGCTGTGTCAACTTGAACTTGTTTCCGGGGTACATATCCTTTTGACAATAGATGATTTATAGATACATAGATAAAAACTCCACAAGCAAGACTCATTGATATAGCAAAGATCCAATCTGCCAGAGGACCCTGTGTTGTGGAGTCTATAATGATTCCAATGGCCGCACCAAATGGACTGGACATGGCAAAAGCAAAGGAATAGATTGCGCATGATAAGAGGGGACGATTTGGAATCATTCTAAGAAGAGCAATGCCCATGGCAATGGCTGCAAATATCTTGTGCAAAGATATTGTCCATAAAGCTCTCCAAGCATCCTCTTTTTTCTTTGCAACTCCAATTGCTATACCCTCAAACAGAGAATGAAAACATAAGGCCAGGATCAACAAGATGGTATCTCCAAGTGAACTGGCAGATGCAACATGATTGGCAAAGTGGTGATTGGCGCCAGCATGGACCTGTTAACCAGAAACTGTCACTAAATACTTTTTTTGTTCTTTTTACCATTTGAAGACTTTGTTCAGGAAACGACTCTATCATTCAAAATACGTTACCTTGTATTGTGATTGTGAGGCTACAACATTGCCACTTCCTTTGGACGTTTCATCATCTGTAAATATAACAAGTAAGATTGAAGGAAAGAAAAGGAGCATGCGAGGATATTTACATTCGAGTTTATTTTTGGTTGAATTCATGTTCCCTTTCTACTAATTTGAAGAAACATTTCTTAGTCATAAATTGAAGAAAAAGATAGAACAGTATGATATTGTGCACAAGAATGCATATGTTCCGGTGTATAATTAATGAATTTGAAATAAACCAGCCATGGAGAAAAAAGAACAGCCAAGAACAACCAAACATCTTCACTTATGGTTTAAAAAACCATCATAATAAGCAATCCCCTTGCTATGATTTAAAAATCAACATGATGAAACGAGTAACTACAGTGTTCTTTTACTTCATAAACCTAAATAAGGCTTCTATTACAGTGTATAATTGTTAATAACTTCATATGCTATTCCCATTATTTACATTCTAGCATGTAAAATTTAAGGAAACTTTGAATCCCAAGTAGGAGTCTCACATCATCACCCTTTTCACCTCATTGATATTCATGCCAAATTTGCAATCTTCATAGCCAGACATTACAGTTCAACAACAGGAAAAGAAGAAAGGAAGAAGCAAGCTACACTGCTCTGCAATAGAATATCTAACTTTTAAACAAAGGGGAAAAAAGCAGTTATAGCAACATATTGAGTATATTGACCTTGCTATATTCTAAACCACCAACCTTGAAGATCGACATCAGCTCCAGAACTAGACCTCTTATTCTGCCTGGCAAAGACTGTGGAGATAACACAATCAGCGAACATGGTAACTAAATAACCCGAACAAGCCAGCATAAAGGCAAAGGGATACTCCTTCTCAGTCAAATCCTCGAACGTCTTGTGGGCATCGCTGAGGAAATGCATCATAGCAGTACCCAGAAACACACCCCCAGCAAACTGGGTTCCCAAAACCAAGAACCCCTCGTTCCATTTCAACACATAGGGCGAAACTCCCGCAAAAAAAGTCAAAACAAACACAATGATCATGCACCAAATTTTAGCGAGAATTAAAGTTCTGGACCGAACATTGAGCTTGCCGTCAGCAGATTCGCCGTCATTGTCGTGGCCACCGTGGGCAGAAACAGAGAAGACGAAAGTGAGAAAGGCAAGCAAAAAGAATGACAGAAATCGGAGCGATCGAGACATTGGGGGGAGCAGGAAGAAGGAGGTGGAGGTGGTGGAGGTGGTGGTGGTGATAGGTGAGATTTGACAATGAGAATAAGTCCATAGATGTAAAATGATTTCCAATAAAATATTACGAGGGCGAAGAAGACTGCGGTTTGGACGTTAGTGAGAATGGAGAGGGTGAACATAGTAGTGCAGGTGCAGCCAGCTGAGCCTGAGAAGACGGCCATGAGAATGGAAGAAATGAGAAAGCATGTAGGAAAAAGGACCCCAAAATAATAATAATAATAATAATAATAATAAAACCAAGCTAGTGCTCTCTAGTTCCGAGTCCTGATATGCAAATGTGTGAAATATTTATTAAGAAAGTTTTGCCATAAATATAATCATATCTAACTTATAATCATATCTAACTTGGCTCATGAATAATGAATGATTGTTTAAAGAAAGACCCAAAAAGAAAATCAAGAAATGGCAAACGATATGTAAATTGAAGTAAGTATTCGGGTGCACTTAGATTATTGAAAATTTGGATTTGGTACAAGTTTTTTATTGGGACAAAAATTTATGAATTTAAATTTAAATTAGTATCTTATTACAAATTTTTTTAATTTCTAATTCTCTCTCTATCTTAATTATTTAAAATTTTAATTATTTTAAATATCATGTTATCTTTGTGTTTTCACTATTAATATATCTTTGACTCCTATATCTTTTCTTATCTTTTATTTGAGTCTCTCATCCATTTACAATAGAGATCATATCGTCATTCTTAATTTTTTATTTTCATTTCAGATCTTGAATCATCTATTTTTTTTAATTTTTTAAATATAAGATTTGAAATGTAAGATTTCAAATCTAAAATTTAAAGTTAAATATGTCAATTCAAACACTACCTAAATTATTTTCTTACAAACTTTACTCATTCTATTTTAGAAGATATTTTCGAAAGTGATATGGTGTTTCAAAATGTAAGATTTTTTTTAAATAAGGATAAATAAGGATTTATTATTATTATTATTATTATTTCACTCCTTAAATATATATCTATATTTATCTTCTTAAATGAAAAGTATTTTTAAAATATAATAAAAAATTAAGATTTTAAATTATATTTAATTAACTTTAAAAAAATTACCATTACTTATATTTTAAAAAAAATCCCACAATATACTAATTTTCAAAAAAGGAAAAGAGGCAAAAATACCCTAAAGTCATCAGTCACTAGAATCCAGTAACTTAAAGTGATAAAAAGGATAAAAATACATATAACATTACCTAAAAAAGTGTAAAAATAATCAATCTATTAAGTTTTTCAAACGTTGAACGTTTAGTAGATATTTAAGCAAATATTGATCATTTTTTTCACTGATGTGAACTAAAAAAGGAATAAAAATACTAGCAAAATATTAGCCAAGGGCATCCAGTAATTTAAAATGAGAAAAAAGCAGAAATACCTGCAATGTTATTTTAGCAGGTGCAATAGTAAAAATCCATCAAATCTCTTAAATATTGATCGTTTAGCTAATACTTAAACAGAAGTTGACCATTTTTTATTAACATGGACTAAAAAATATGTTGATCAGTCATCATATGATGATGAGTCTTCACTTGAGGCTTTAGTTTTTATGGCAGGAAAATGTCATTTTGATTGAATAACAAGTTAGATCGCATGCTCCTTTAAAATTTTTGTACCATTAAAGCTTCTTCTTAATAATTCAAATCGATAAAGAAAGTTTTCTGCAACTCAATTTCCTTTCCAACTTCACTTGCAACATTGCATCTCTTTCTAGCCAGCTCAACAACTGAGGTTCAATGCTTATTTAAGAGGGTTTTAGAAGATCATGCTTAATCGTCAAAAATTTCTCCAAAAAGCTTTCACCTGAGAAATGTTTGAAATCTCTATTAAAGGCATCACCAAATGGAGAAAAATTATGTAGCATGGATTTTGACAGATTAGCTACTATCACACCTACTAAAGTAATGTTACAAGTTTATTATTATTTTTCTCACTTTAAACTATTGAATGCTTTTGACTAATGATTTTGTAGATATTTTTATCCCTTTTTTAGTTCACATCAACAAAAAATTTGTTAGCATCTATTTAGATATTAGTTATAAAGTCAACGTTTGAATGATTTAAAGAATTGATCATTCTTGCATCAATTTAGACAGTATTATGGGTATCTTTGCTCTTTTTCTTAATTTAAATTATTCGATGTTCTTGATCAACAACTTTATGAATATTTTTACCCTTATCTTTTCAATATATATATATATAAATAATATAAAAACTTCACAATAATTACCTCAATTTTGATTGCTTTTTGTCATTTTGCTATTCTAAGATATTTGTGTGTTACTTTGCCAAGCATAGATGATTAGATGCTATACAGTCAACCGTGCTTCTTACGAAGTGATTCCACGGGTTCTCATCTCCAAAATAAAAGGTGGCCTGGATAAATCTAAACAGTCTTTTGGCCAACGAAAAAATCTAAGTAGTTCCAATCATTTCTTTTTAATTTTAAAGTAAGGTTTATATAAGGATATATTTTTAACAATTGACTTGTACTTATTTAGTATTGCCTGCTATACCTTGCTACCAGCAAGATCCTTCTTTTTTAATATTTACAATATAAAGCTACAATGGGTCTCGTACATTCACTGTACAACACAGGGGGGACGATCCTTGCGTAAAGGCAGAGGGTAGGGTAGCGTTTTTTCTCTTTTGTTTTTCGATCGTTGGCCCTCCTCGTCAATTCAATATATATATATATATATTTATATTTATATATATCACAATTTTTAAAATTTAGAAATATTGATAATATCATTCCCGCGTCATAGCTGTTTATCTTCAGCCATAATATATTAAATTTTAATTTTCTTACTTTTTTAATATGTATATTTTTTATTTATTTTATTTGTCCTCCTAAAGGAAATAGAGAACCGTTATTATTCATGCCAACTTTAATGCTATGCTTTGTTTGCATAAAAAAAATAACAAGGAGAGAAAATAGTTGGAGAGAAAATGAAAAGGAGAAAAAATAGTTGTAGAGAAAATGAGAGGGATGCAATTTTATTTCATTCAGTCGAATGAGAGAAAAGTTGCTACTTTTATATAGACAATAATAATCTTATTATTTATAAAAATATTTATACAATAAAATTCAATATTTTAACATATTATATATAAAATAATTTTTATCATATATTATTGACTGAAAAAAACATAATTAAAAATTATTTTATCTATTTTAAAATTTTATTTATTAAATTATTAAATATATAATAATTTTAAAATCTGAAACTACAACCAAATAAAAGGTACTTGACTGAAAATTAGCTTGAAAATTTAAAATTAGCATTTATTTAATTAGTCTAAAAATAAAATATTGCTTGTTTGACAAAAGTTCACGATTAAAATATAACTACATTATAAATATCATGATAAAAATAAAGGAAAGTAGGAGGCAACAATGAAAAAAATGATGAATAAATTTGAAAATGAAATTTTCTCTCTAAAATCTCCCCATATTTGAAAAGAAAAATTGAAGGCAAAAATATATGGGTCTCGTATGTTATTTCCCTCTCACTTTTCTCTTTATAGCTAAGCAGGAAAAATTCACTTTTCCCCACTTTTTTCTCCCCAACACTTTCTCCTCCTGCCAAGCATAACATAATTGATAAACAAGATTTCACTTTTATGTACACTTCAGTTCATATAATGCCAATAAACAAATCATACATTCAAAATTTTACTATAATAACCTAATTGTAAGTTGACATTAACATTTTTAAGGAAAAATATAATTATTAGTCCTTATAGTTTTACCGAATTTTGCTTTTAGTCCCTATAATTTTTTTTTATTATTTCAGTCCTTATAATTTTAAGAAGATTGGGTGACATTTATTTTTCATATCATATAGTTTCAATTTTTTCAGTATTTTTAGTTCCTATAAGTAGTAGCGGAGCCAGGATCCTAGGTTAGAAGGGGCAATGATGGAACTAGGGTCTTTGGTAAAAGGAAAACATTTTTGTTTCTTTCAAATCAACTATTTCTCTTTTCTTCTTTCTTTTTCTTTATTCCTTATCTAGCTTTCAATTATAAATTTGTAACTATAGTGAGCTAGCACAAAACATTCATTCAATTTATTTTTGAGTTTTGAATCTTCATTATTTATCATTATTTTTTTTAACTAGTCTCTGAATAGTATTCAAGATGAGGAATGAGTCTATTTAGTCATATTAAATTTTTTTTTATTTTTTAAATAATTAATAAATAATATTGGTATTTAGGTATAGTGAAATTGTGGGCTAATATTCACAAGGTTAAGTTAAAAATTTGAATAGATCTAGGCTAAAAAAGTAAGATTGAAATGGTTTAAAGTTTAAAATAAAATATAAAAATAAAAGGGTGCTAAGTATAATAAGTAAAAGGTGCAAATTAAAAAATATAAAAATTTATACTCCAAAATATGTCATTTTTTTCAAGTGAGAGGGGGCATATGCCCCCCCTCAATTATATGTGGCTCCGTCACTGCCTATAAGGACTGAAAATTTTGGAAAAAATTATATTGACTAGAAAAAAACCTGATAAAATTACAGAGACTTATAATTATGTTTTTCTTATTTTTAAATTAAATAAAAATTTATATTACTAAATAAGAGTAAAAATAAAAAAAAGTGGTTTAGAATGATCTAACGTTTGGAGTTAATCCCACTTCCATGTCAAAACTGCCCAGTTTAAACCGGTCCAAAATATGTCAATTCCGAAAACATTTATTAATAAACGCGAATTGAAGTTATTATTTAATTTTTCCTTATATTAATAAGAGACAATACCTAGATTAAGCTTGAGATTTATGGTATTACTCGTAGCTTATTATTAAGAATGTGGATTTATTTGTCGATTATGGTAGCCGTCCAAGAAAGTTTACTGTTAAGAATACTAATTCTCCCTTGCGTGGCTAAGGACAATTATTTGCTGAACTGTCATAATTTTTTCTTTCTGTTTATTAAAGATTGTAGTTTCGAGTTTTTTTTTTAAAAAAAGATTGTAGTTTCGAAACTTGCAGTTGTTTTTTTAGTTAAGGTGTTAATCTGCCCATCATGTATTTAAAATAGACCATGTTGCATCACTA